TTATTAAAAATTGGACAGTGAAAGAAACAAAGCTATTGATGATTGATGTTTGAAGAAAGCACTTAGTCAAGTGTTTGGCAAAAGCTGAATTAAACCAAGAAACCAAAGCTTTGTGACTTCCTTTTACATGTAACTGTGTTCAGTAATTCATAAAAATTTGAACAATTTGTCATTGCTCTCTTACAGGTTATGCGGAACCTTATGTAATCGGCCTTCTTCCTCGGTATGTGGAGATACGAACCATCAGTCCTCGTGCACTTATCCAGAGCATTGAATTACCTAAATCTCGATTTATTGCTCGGGGAAAGCACATGTATATAGCATCGTCAAGCTTTGTGTGGAGACTTATTCCTGTGTCTATTCCGATGCAAATACAACAGCTACTGCAAGACAAGCAGTTTAGCCTTGCTCTTATGTTAGCGGTAAGTTATCTGATTTTCTACATTTCTCTCGCGCGTGACGCAAGAGTGACCTGTTCCCCACGCGAGGAAACTAGTACTAATCACCTTAACTCCCAAAAGTGATCAACATGAAAGTTCTCGCTATTATATCCATACATTACCCAGCAAACAGGTAATGAGAATACTAAACAATTATTGGATGAGGTTTTTGTGATATCCGGAATAATCAAGGTCGAGGTAAGTGTTATCAGCCGAAGCCGAAGGCTTCGGCTGATAACTCTAACCGAGACCTTTATTATTCCGGATATCACAAAAACCGAATTCAATAACTCTTTTATTATACATTGTCTTAAAGAAAATAACGCCAAACGCATTATCGCAGCGAACGGAGTAAAACGATCCCTCCTTTTTTCGCGCTTCCACCTAAAAAGATTTCAACATTTGGGCTAATTCCTTTTTGTCGTGTGGCTCCTCGATATTTTTCTCTTTAGGGTATTCGTAGAATAGTTCCTTCGCCACTTTTGTCGATCTTTTAGTATTTTCTGAATCTTTATCTTCAAGTAATTTCTCAATTTCTCGCTGGGTCGATGAAGCGAATCGAGAAGCCATTCTTACTTCGCTGTCCGTGAACTTGACATTGCTCCTTGGGAAACTACTTGGGATAACATTGGATCAGGATCTCTCATTTAATCGCCAAATTGAGGAGTTATGCAAAAAGTTGGCGAAACGTATTGGACTCCTTCGTCACATAAGTCCTTATCTGAAACGCAATCAACGTGACATATACTACTCTACGATCATTAAACCTGTAATGCTTTACGGTAGCACGACATGGACTTCTTGCAGTAAAGAAAATCTTTTGAAAGTCCTGCGTCTTCAAAAACGTGCGGCTAGAATTATCCTTGATGCCGAAAGAACAGCACCTTCTGTCGGCTTATTTAACACCTTAAAGTGGGTTCCTTTTTATGCTGAATCATACGTCAATCGATGCGCTCTAACCTACAAAAGGCTTAATGGAAATACCCCGNGATACAGGTCTCTATCACAACAGGGTCACCCTTAGCCTCACTCATGTTCAAAGGCTTGGCCACCAAGCCCACAACTGTAAAAAGGACTATTCAAGTCAAAGAAATTATAATTATAGACCTTGGAAGTCATGGAAGTAAATCTTGAATGTTTTTGTTCGCTTTTATGAACAGGACATGGTGGTTGAACCAGAGCAAGAGAAAGCCGCACGTAAAGAGAGTATTCAGAATCTTTATGCATTTGATATGTTCTGTCAGAAGAGGTTTGATGATTCTTTGCAGCTCTTTGCCCAGTTAGAAACAGGTTAGTTATTTTTTAATTTGCGCGAATTTGGTTCAGGCATCGTCAACAATGGTGTAGTTTGAAATAAAAGTTTAAGAAAGTATTTGTTTGAAATGCAGAAATTGAACGAAATGATGAAACAATCCACGTAGTGATGTTGTAATTTAGTTGGCCCTTATGTTGCAGAAAAAAGCCAAGGCTCCATTTTTTAAGTCTGTGAATGAACTCTGGTGAACTCTTCAGATGAAAGAAGGATTTGTTTAAAGACCACTCGTTTTCCCGCCCTTTTGTGGTTTTGCCGCAAAGGACCACGGGCTTTGGTACTTTTTTTTCCCTGAAGCTGCCATCTTTGTTATGTTATGTTTTTAGCTCGAAATAAATTACTTTATATGACGACTTCTTCCGGCATATTAAACTGTTCTGGTATCGAGACTTTAAAGTCTCCGGGTGAAACACTAACGTGCCACCTTTCAATTCAAAGCTACTGAGCTCTATTTTCGCCTGTTTATTTGTTTTTTTGCAGACCCAGCACAAGTTATAGGCCTGTTTCCCGATCTTCTTCCGAGTGAATTCCGAAAGCTTCTCGAGTACCCGGCCCCACCACCTCAGTTGACTCCGGGGGAGCTGGAGAAGGGCTGTTTAGCACTCGTGGAATATTTGACGCAGGTAGAATTCAGATACTTCGGTTTTTATCAACTGAGTTGATAATGTGAATAAGCCACCTAAAAGAGTTTCAAAGCTGACGTTTCGAGCGGTAGCCCCTTGTCAGAGCGATGACGATTTTTTTTTTTTTTGCGATAACAACAATTTGGTAAATTCGTTTATGTTGTTTTCGTCGCGTGCGGTCGTTGAGATACTTACATGAGGCCGTAGTGAAAGTGTGACACATACACGTCATTCGATTATTTTTAAAAACATACGAGCGGACATTTTGCTCAGTACTCGTATTTGTCCTCGACCTTATGGGTTTGGAAAAATACAACGCAACTCACGAAATATCCGCCCGTATTATTATAAGATGTTTTTAAAAATAATCGAGTAAGGTGTATGTGTCGCACTTTCACTCATACACCTCATGATGCCATATGGGTTTTTTCCTTACTAGAAACGAAATGAGTTGATGAAAAGCAGTGACAAGGCAGAAAGCATGCAGAAAGGAAGACTGAAAGATTCTGCCGAAGATCATAGTAAAGGTATTTCACTCTTATAACTCAGGCTCCACTAAAGGAATGAAGAGAAAAGCTTTTCTTGTAGAGTACACTTCAATTGAGTGTTGCCAAACTAATTCCTTCAGCCAATTAGAGGAAAGGAAAATATCACAACGAGCCAATGAGAATTTAAAGTAAGCAAACTGAACATCGCGCGTGAAAACGCAGGTTATCAAATCGAGATTGGTTTGAGCTTGGATTCTGATTGGCTGAGAAAGTGACGCGAGTTTTCTTGACCGATCATGAGCGAAGAAAAGCAAATCTAAAGCAATCCCGGACTTACTTTCGAAACGTAATTGAAATTGCTCGTTGTTCACGACTGACATGCAATTATTTCAACAGTCTCTGTTGCTTAACATCTTTTTTTTTAAACTGCGTTCTTTCTTAATCATTTTAGCTGATATAAAGGCTCAGAAGAACTTAATGCACAAAAGACAAATCATTGATACTACACTGCTGAAATGTTACTTACAGGTTGGTACTGTGGATAATTAAAAAAATAGTTGAAGAAGACAATGAGCAAGTTGATCTTACGCCAGGTTATACCAGTTGACGTTTTTCTCACGCTTAACAAGAAAATTGCGGTAATATGACATCGACATGCCGAAACGAATTGAGCAAAATGAGTGACCAAACTTATCCAGAGGAAGAAAATTATTCGTAAATGAACTTTGTTTCTCCAAAACACCTGATTTTAGAGAGGGAAGAACTGGAGAGAAGGTAGTGTCAGTACCCTTACTCTTATTAGTATGGCACTCTAGGTCTCCCCCTCTGAGGTCTTCCCGTACCTTATCTGAGGGGAGGAGGGACGCCTATTTGAAGCTGGGCGCTATTTGAAGTATATCAGAAAAGTGAGTGTTCACTTGCGTGTTTGGTACTTAAAGGGCAGTTCGCATTTAGGGACAATTTAAGTCCGATGAAACTAAATGGTGAATAAACGTTTTTTTTTTAAAACAAAAAACAAACAAACAAACACAAACACAAAAGAACGCAAACTGTGTAAAAAAAAAATAACTGGCCAATTTGAGTTTCACCAACTGCTGAAATGATGTGAATCACTTTGCGTTTGTTTCCTCTTCAGACAAACGATGCCCTTGTGGCACCACTGCTGAGGTTGAAAGAAAACTTCTGCCATGTAGAAGAGTGCGAAAGAGTTCTAATGAAGAGCAAAAAATACAATGAATTGGTTATACTGTACCAGACCAAAGGTCTTCATAAGAAAGGTTGGTTGCGCTGTGGTGCCTTAGTAATAACAAAGAGTGATGTGTTGTAAATGTAATAATTTTTGCTTCTTCAGTTTCAAACAAAATTTTCAACATGTATATTCCTTCTTTTTTTGTTACAGATAGACTTAATTTCCGTTGTACAAAAGTTGAGAAAACTAATTTAGTGATTGACTAATTTCATATCCCATGACTGTGCAGTTGACATCATATGGAACAAATCCGTATCGATAGCAACTGGAAGAACACTAACTGCTTAGATAGTTTTCACAGATATTTGAATGTTTTTGACTTGTGAGTGTCTGTTCAGAGAACTTCGTTTGTATTTGTGGGCCACAGATTCCGAGGTGATTTTTCTTATAACCGCTTATATTCTGCTTTCAGCACTAGACCTCTTGTTGAGACAGGCTCAGAAGAGTAGCGGTCCACTCAAAGGCCATCAGAAAACAGTTCAATATCTCCAGCATTTAGGTAATCATTAACACTAATTTGCTTCGTTATTCTATAAAACAAAGAGACTCCATGTTGCCGCAAAAACTGACGTACGTTTGCGTTCCCGCCAAAGCTGTCGCAGCGTTTGCGTTCCCGCCAAAACTGTCGCAACGTTTGCGTTCGCGTCAAAACTTACGTAGCGTTTGCATTCCCGCCAAAACTCGACATCTGTAATTTTTACTGCACAAACACGCGGCAACACAGAAGAAAAAGAAAATGCCTTGTTTTATTGATCTCAAATGTGTTATTTTTTTTCAGGTCGTGAACACTTAAAACTTATATTTGATTTTTCCGTCTGGGTTTTAAAGGCGCATCCTGATGACGGATTAAAGGTAACTTCTTAAGTTTTCAATTTAAGGGAATGTGCTTTTTCCTTCTTGCCACGAGCGTGGGACAAAGAGAAAACTCTAGATCCTCTTTGGGAAACTTTCTTGTTTTCAATTTTCTTAACTTATGGAAGTTTTTACCAGCACTCCCATAGGCCAAAATGAATTAGTCAGTGATACATGACTAAGACTTTCAACACATGTTGTCCACAAATAATGCAAGCGCCTTTTGGAAACAGGAGGTGAACAACGTTGGCAAGTGTTGAAAGGGTTAGAAATGTAACTTAATTGAACACGCTAGACTCAAGTTTCAGTGTGGAGTTCAAATTTCTTTGGGGTTTTCAGCAAATGTCTAAATTTCCTCAAGAAACTCGCTTTGATAACCTAGTCGGTCCGTATTATTATTTGCACTAACACTTCAACACTTGTTGAGAAATACAAGGTTTTTCTTTAATTTCAAAGTGAGCAAATACCTCAGTTTAGAAGCGCATGTTTTTCACAGGTTAAGCTCAAGAACCTTTCTTACCTTGCCTTCCTAGATATTTACGGAAGATTTACCAGAGGTCGAAGGTCTACCACGTGACAAAGTACTGGCTCACATAGAACAGTGCGCGAAGCAGTTGACTATCAGATATTTGGTGTGTGCAGTGAAGTCTAACTTCTACTCAATTATTTACACCCCAACATCAGTATGCATATTCTCCATACTGTTCTCTATACACTTCTGAGGAGCTCGTAAGGAGAATTTGTCAAGAAATCAAGAGCTTCTTGAGTTCATGATCATATCCTTTATTCTTATGACTTTAATATTCGATTTAGGGGTGATTCTGTGGGGAGAATTTAGATGTTAGTCACTCGTGGGGGTCAAAAAGTTAAGTAAGATTTGAATTAACGAAGTTTCTCCCCTTTCAGGAACATATAATCTTCCTGTGTAGTGAATCAAAACCCGAATTTCACAACAAGTTGATCAATTGCTACCGTGAAAGAGTACAAGTGTTGATGAGAGAGTATTTAGATTCGTTACCGGAAGGTTTGTATTTGCCTTTGAAGACGGTTATTATTTTTAATATTTTGTTTGTTTGTTTGTTTGTTGGTTAAAGAAAAAGAAAGGAAAAGTCTGTAAAGTTAATGCCCTGCAATGAACCGAAGCCTTTCACCGTTTCTGTAGCATAAATCGATTAGGGATAATGCCTTATTGTCCGGATAAGATTCAGTTTCGTGCTACTCTCCCCCCTCTCCCCTCCCTTCCTGAGCAAATCATCGCACATGGTGTTCTTTATAGTTCGCTGGTTTCCATTTACACTCCAGGGTGGTCAGGGGTGCTCTGAGAGTCAAGTGTCTTGTGGAGGAACACGACACGATTACCCAGGAGGATGTTATTCACTTATCACAACCCTGGTAGAAAGAAAAGACTTAAGTCCCACACAACAAATCAATCCTCAGACCTTCCAGTTATTTTCTTCATTCGTCAATCTGCTTCAAAAGTTTGTCTTTCAAATCGGCACTGTTAACCCCGTAGGTATCAACGAACGCTTTTTGTTCTACTAATTTATTCGTGTTTTTCTCGTCACCATTTTCCCACCAATAGCGTAGCTCCACTTTCTGCTTATAAACCCACACACAACCCAAAATTCCTCCATTCACTCTGACGAAGAGCTAACGCTCGAAACGTCAGCTTTTTAACTCTTTACAGTGGCCAATTTACGATTTCAACTTAGTTGATATAACCAAATTACCTCAAAACTTGCCAACTTTCTCAACCCCTTACACTCGAACATCAGTATCTATATTCTTCACAGCGTTGTCTGTACATTTCCTTTGGTGATGACAAGGAGAACTTGTTTTAAAATCAAAGCCTTTTAGATTGGTGATCATTTCCTATTATCTCGTGACCTCGATGTTTGATTGGGAGAAATTAGATGTTGGTCACTCTCTTAATGATCAAGAAAGGGAGAAGCTTTAAAACATTGGTGAGAACGTGTACGTGGTTTATTTGTCAGGTGACCAGCCTTTTCCTCCCGGAAGTGAACCAGGGGAACTCGGAGAACTAAGAGGAAGGTTGCTGTTTTTATTAGAGACTTCAAAACATTATCAAGCGCAGCATCTACTGACGCACTTTCCAGAGAGTAAGTCATTTTATTATTTCTTACCGAAAAGAATTTTGACCTTTTTATCGTTAAATTTTTGTCAAGAAGTAAATACCTTTTACGCAAAGCTTCAAAGAAACAGCTGCCACCTAAACTGACGCAATGTTTACGTTCCCGCCTAAACTGTCGCAGCGTTTGTGTTCGCGCCAAAACTGACGCACTGTTTGCTTTCCCGCCAAAACTGATGCAGCGTTTACGTTTGCGCTAAAACTGACGCTGCGTTTGCGTTCCCACCAAAACTGACTCAGCGGTCAGGTAATAGGCGCGATGTATGTTTGTGTCACTTCAACATTTCTCGCCAAAACTATCCCAAATGCTCTCTGCTTGGGATTTTTTCATGTTCTCTTCTTTCTCTTAGGCTTTTATCATGAACGAGCTCTTTTGCTTGGACGAGTAGGAAGGCACGAGGAAGCTCTGGCTATATACATCCATATTTTACATAACATCAAACTTGCTGAAGAGTAAGTCCGCTGTCACTGGAGGGCATTGGAATTGAGTTTCGTAAAACCAGAAACAAAGTAATCACCACGCCCAATGAAAACAAAGCGAAAAGGAATATTTTTGTCCCGAATGTCGACAGTAATCCGTGCTTGCTTTGGATTTGCTTTACTTCGCTGAGTGATTGCTCCAGAGATTTGCGCCACTTTCTCATCCAATGCGAATCTAAAAGAAAATAAATCGCGACTTGTTTACTTGCCTCTCAGTTAACTCATTTTTACTGGCTTGCTCTTATTGGCTCCTGAAGGTATTTTCCTTCGCTCTGATCGGCTGTCGTGATTACTTTGGCCTTGGTTTTACAGTGCTCAAGCGAAAGGCGGTCTATCTCAGGGAGTTAAGAATTGAGTATCGATAAAATTCTAACAGCCTGGAGCGCGGCCAAACGAGAGACCAAGTCGCAGTTAGTGTTGATTTTGCATCAGGTAGGCCGAGAGGGTGATGCGAGTTTTCTTGACCAGCGCAGACCATGTGAAGTGAAAACAATGCAATCCTGGACTTCTTAGGACACTCATTATTAAAAGTTGTTCAAGTGATCATCATTCATGGGCATCCCAAGTTTTCAAGCTCAGTGAATTCTTAACGAGGATTACCCGTGTGTTGCGCTTGAAATCGTCACAAACTATGTAAATTAACCGCGCGTGAGTTTTCGCACCATCTGGCATATTTCAGGTCACATTTTGCGAGGTGTTTGTGTCTTTTTTCCTTTTTAGGTATTGTCATCGAAATTATAACGAAGGCCGCGAGGGCAGTAAAGATGTAAGTGTATTTGATTTTTGATGAATATACTTTTTAGTGAGCGATAAGCACAACCTGTGCAACTTTGATCCCCGCATTGGGATTTTCTTTTCTTTGGATCACAGTAATCACTTTCGTAAAGGAAGGTTTGAAATTAAATAAGTTATGCTGTCTGAATAACGACTCTCTGTGATTGGTAGGTATACGTGTCCTTATTGCGCATGTACCTGGAGCCACCCCAGATAAGCGGCAAGGAAAATATGAAACCGAACATTCTTGAGGCGCTAGACGTACTGCAGGAGCATCACCTGAAGATAAGTACCGCTAAGGTGCGTGTAACCATTGTATCGCACATGTTTGTAACCGATTTGTTGCACGTGCCTGTAACCATTGTATCGCACGTGTTTGTAACCGATGTGTTGCACGTGCCTGTAACCATTGTATCGCACGTGTTTGTGACCGATGTGTTGCACGTGCTTGTAACCATTGTATCGCACGTGTTTGTAACCGATGTGTTGCACGTGCCTGTAACCATTGTGTCGCACGAACAAGTAACCATTGTGTCGCACTTGCGTGTAACTGTTGTGTCGCATATGTGTGTAACCATTGTTTCGCACGTGCGTGTAACTATTGTGTCGCACATGCGTTTAACCATTGTTTCGCATGTGCGTGCAAGTATTGTATCGCAAGTGTGTGGAAACATTGTGTCGCACGTGCTTGTAACCATTGTGTCATTTCCGTTTAACCATTGTGTTGCACGGTTTGTGTGAATCACTGACTCCCCACGTTACGATTGTCTTGTGCTTCTCAGTTTTTACGCGAGCAGTGAAATTATAATAAAAGGGTGAAGCATTACCGCCTGAAACCAGCGCTCTATCTAATCTGAGTGGCACGGAGTTTATTTCTGATGCGTAGAAGCGCTTTCTTATTTTGGATAACCTCCGATTTGGTGCGATTTGTTTCAAATCTGACGTTTCTGTATGAGTTGGAACGTATGGTTTCGGACGGCTCCGCCTTTTTTCTGGCAGTTCCGTCTAATTTCGGCCATCTCGTGCGATTTCGGAAGGTCTCGTCCGATTTCAGAAGGTCTCGTCCGATTTCGGAAGGTCTCGTCCGATTTCGGAAGGTCTCGTATGACTTCGGATGATCTCATCTGAGGGAGGGTTCCGTGTACTGATCGGTGGTGATTTTGAATCTTCAGGCGCTTGAACTACTTCCTCCATCTACTAAAGTGAGTGAGGTTTATGCGTTTTTGCTCAATGTTCTGGAAGACAAAGATAGGAAACGGAAGAGTTGTCAAGTGTTGAAGAGCCTTCTGTTTGCTGAGCATCTACAGGTAGGATGAGGCAAACTAACACCTCTCGGTTAAGGAGTCAGGCTTTCCAATCTAACCCAACGATTTTGCTTGACAGGTTCAAGAACAACGTATGCATTATCAGGGGCATAAAATACTGCTGACCGATGAAAGAGCTTGTCGGGTGTGTCACAAGAAGATCGGAACGAGGTGGGAAACAGTGGTAGTCTGATTTTGTCTTTTTCTTTGATATCGCATACTGAAGTTCTCACGAGTAAAGTAACTTCTTTTGGTACCGTATCTGATTTATCATCACGGGTTTATTACGAATCAACTTAACGGCCTGCTCCCAGTTGGTTTGTTAGCTTAATTGGTAAAGCGCTCCACTAGTATCGCAGAGGTCAGTGGTTCGA